TATATATATATATATATATATATATATATATATATATATATATATATATACAGTGGCAAAAGTATTTAACATATTGGTTTTTTTCTTACATATTTCAGCAAATAACAGATTAATTTTAACGAAACTTATAGGAAATATTTAAACGAACATTGTCGATCAAAACATAGAAGGAACATTTAAAACCACTGTTTTGAGAAACATTTATTAACAATAAATAAAATAACCCATATGCAAAAGTATTTAACACCAATGCAAATATTATGCTCGAAGAGATGTATCTTCATGTTTCCTACCCATATTGATATGATGTGGTATGTCGACCAATGACAGCACTGCACGACACTCAACTGGCTATTAGATAACAGCTTTAAGACACTGCAGCTATTCTGTTGCCACTAAAGTGGTGAAAACAAAAGAATTATCGAACGACATGCGCAAAAAGATCATAAAGAATCACAAAGATGGTAAGGGATATAGAAAAATCGCTCAAGATTTGAATTTGCTTGTGAGTACAGTTGGTGCTGTTGTTCGAAAATGGAAAATATTCGATACTATTTAAAACATTCAAAGGAGTGGTCGTCCCTGTATCTTAAATGAGGCTAATGAGCGATACATTTCCCGTACTGTGAAGAAAAATCCATTTTCAACTCGTCGAGAAATTCAGAATTATTTGAAAAATGCCGGAATTGAAGTTAGTAAAGATACAATTAAAAGATCACTGAATCATGCATGTCTCACTTCAAGATCACCGAGAAAGACTCCATTACTGAAACGTCGACATGTACAAGGACCGTTTGAATTTTGTTAAGAAATATGAAATTGAATCTAATGATTTCTGGGAGAAAGTAATTTGGTCAGACGAAACTAAAATTGAGCTTTACGGACGAAACATGCGCACTCATGTATGGAGGAAAAAAGGAGCGGAATACGAGCCAGCAAATACCATCCCTACAGTCAAAATGGGGGTGGAAATATTATGATGTGGGATTGTTTTTCCTCAAATGGAGTAGGAAAAATGAAAATCATCGAAGGAACAATGAATGCTGCAAAATACACTCAAAATTTGTCAACTCAACTCTTGAACAGTGCCACATCTTTGGGACATGGTCGTGATTTTGTATTTCAGCAAGATAATTACCCGAAGCATACTGCTAAAACAACTATGAATTGGTTTAATAATTAATGACATTAATGTCCTGGAATGGCCAAGCCAGTCACCGGATTTAAATCCAATCGAAAATTTGTGGAAATTATTGAGGTTACGAGTTCATAAAAGAAATCCATCGAATTTAAACAAATTGAAGAAAATTTGTGATGAAGAATGGGTCAAAATACCAACAAGTACCTGCAAGAAACTAGTTGAAGACTACGGGAAACGACTGGAGACTGTGAAACAGAACAGAGGGTACTGTACTAAATATTAGTAAACTGTGTTAAATACTTTTGCATATGGGTTATTTTATTTATTAGTAATAAATGTTTTTCAAAACAGTGGTTTTAAAATTTCCTTCTATGTTTTGATCGACAATGTTCGTTTAAATATTTCCTATAAGTTTTCGTTAAAATTGATCTGTTACTTTTGAGATATGTAAGAAAAACCAATGTGTTAAATAATTGTATATATATATATATATATATATATATATATATATATATATATATATATATATTTATATATATATATATATATATATATATATATATATATATATATATATATATATATATATATATATATATATATATATATATATATATATATATATATATATATATATATATATATATATATATATATATATATATTTAGGTATATATATATATATATATATATATATATATATATATATATATATATATATAGGTAAGAAGTTAGAATGTGCACCCACAGAAATACATCACAAAATATCAAATGGCCTTAGCATATTACCAGATCTATGGTGATATACCAAAAATAACCATCGTTACAGGACACTATTGGCCCAGACTGAAGGAAATTAACCACTAAGTGCTACTTTGTGGTCATCTGCATGGAAAATGGAGTCGTTGACCACCACCAACCGACTAATGCAAGTCTGGGAATGGATCAACGACCTAATGCCATAAAAGATCGTGAATTCTTGAGAAAACTTCAGATGGAAATCTGACTGAGAACGAATGCCTAGATATTATATGTATAAAGTAATCAAGGAAAACGGTGACGCTATTTAGACAGTTCTCGATGTAAAATATATATATATATATATATATATATATATATATATATATATATATATACAAAAGAGACCCAATAGAAAATATATGTAAAACAATAGTTCTTTTGACATAAAGTTTGATATGGGCCCATAGGTGTTGATTCACTTGCACAAAGTCCTCAACTGGTAAGAGTGACTAGATACTAAGTTCCTTATTATCTATATAATAGTGTAAAGAAATTAATATCTCACCACTCCTACCGCCTCATGAATGTGAGAGAACAACATCAACTTGGTAACTTTTAGTCACGGAAATTAGTTGCATAAGAATATTGTTATTACACACACACACATATATATATATATATATATTTGGTTCTGCAGTGTATATATTTTATTATAAAGAGGTAATCATACAAGGAATTAATTAGCAATGTTAATGTAATTAATGGCGAATAATGCAAAAATCGCGTTCTGAGGATTTTCGAAAGTACTCGGCCTAGGAGAGGCCAAATCCATCAGACAAAAATTTAAACATGAGGATCGCGTCATTCAATGAATTGTTAGGAACTTAATGCCTTATTAAATCAGTTAGCGGAGTGAATGGAATGGAATACGAATAATTTCGTCGTGTATATATATATATATATATATATAATTATTCTTTAAAAAAAATTATGATTCCTTCGCTACATAAGATTTCTCATGTTTCAAAAACTAGAGCCGAAAACCTCAATATGTGCACCCACAGAATGAAATTGAGTTAAAGTATCAAGCCCTGTTTCATCCTCAAGTGAAAATATAGGAATATAAAAATTAATAAATATAAATATATAAAATAATAAAATTAAATAAAAACAAGCAAAATAATTTAACCCAAATAAATAAATAAACGACTTCCGGTAAAATAACCGCCATAATAGACTACCCACAATGCACCACTGACCCGTATATGTATAAATAGCCGAGAAATATAACAGCACACGTGGCCTGACAATTGCATATAGCATGAAACAGACTGTCGCCTCTAAGTGTTGACTTCTATGTTCACTTTTATATTTATGTTTATATTATATATATATATATATATATATATATATATATATATATATATGGTGTGGTGGGTAAATTCGACATTTTAATTTCCCACATGCACGTTTGTTTTTTTTTTTGTTTTTTTTATTTTCTCGACTGTAGCGTATAGTAAGTTTAGTTGTTCACAATCTGTGTGAAAAAGTGCACCATGACGTAATTCCCTACGCCATAAATTTGACAAAAAGAACATGCTGTACTACTTTTCATTCGTGCCAGAATTTCCATTACGAACATTTATCTGAGTCTAATGGGGGATTAGGAAGTAACGACATCTCGGAAAACTCAATCTGATCGTTCTGATGAGAAAAGAACTCCTGCATTTGATAATCACGGCCAATGAATCAACACGGAGGCCTACAACAAGCGCCTTGAAGAAGTGCTGCTGTCCTGGGTGAAAATGCGTGGCTGCTGGAAGACCCGATGTCTGGAAACAGGATTCTGCACCATACCACACAATCAAGAAGAGAACCCAGTCATGACTGTCAGAAAATTCCTGAGACCATATCATACCAGCGAACTCACCAGACAGCAACTCCGGTCATTATTATGTGTTGAGCTCAGTTGAGCGAGAGACCAACAAAAATTGCAACACCAAAGATCAATTGAAAGCAAGGATTATAACAGCATTCACCAACTTCTAGATGGAAGGAGATCTTCCAGATGAGTTTCGCTAGATTCCGAACTCTTCCGGACACCTTGTTTGAAGCCAGTGCCAATGGTATTGAATACATTTACTCTTTATTACTTCAAGATATTTTAGTGTAACTTTGGTAAATATGTCAGTGTTATTTTCATTTTTGCCTAATTTAGACATCAGTTTATCCATCGCACACACACACACACTATATATATATATATATATATATATATATATATATATATATATATATATATATATCCAAGTATAGGATTTGTGTATGGAATAAATTCCAATAATTAATTGAAACGAAATGGCTATTTTTGTAGTGATTTTTATGACATATTTATAATTTTAACTAAATAATCATATATATATATATATATATATATATATATATATATATATATATATATATATATATATATCAATCAATTCACTCTAACCAAGCTGATAATACAATTAATGTTCAATAGTGCTATTAGGAGTGAAAGAGAGCGAAAAGACTTTAGAAAGAACCAGAAATTCAGTCCAAATCCTAAACCAATGGAAAAACATTTTCTCTTGTTCCAAAGATGGGTGGAAGAGCGTGAACCGGACGATAGGCGAACGTATCTAATCCTATTGAGCAAATAAATTAATCAATTAAAAATAAATAAACAGTGAGTAAGATTGTGGAGAGACATGATCGCCAACATGATGAAGGGGCACGGCGCATAGAGGAAGAAAACTTGTCTCATGAAAGGAATCCCAGAAACCAGTTGCTAGGAAAAAAATCACCAGCATTTAAAACCCAACAGATCCAATATGTATATATGTATATCTGTATGTACTTACGTATATATGGGGTTTAGGCTGGGTTATTAGAATTACAGAGCTGAAGGAGGAGAATGAACCGGAAAATAGTCGAACCTATTTACATTTAACATACGTACACGCACACACACACACACACATACACACACACATATATATATATATATATATATATATATATATATATATATAGGCGTTATGTTGGCATTTTGACATCCAGGTAGAGACGATGTATAATACAGTGTGTAAGGCGAAAGCTATAGATAGATAGATAGATAGATAGATAGATAGATAGATAGATAGATAGATAGATAGATAGATATGAGCAGTCTGAAACAGACAGCTATGTCTGAGATCTTAGATAGATAAATAGATAGATAGATAGATAGATAGATAGATAGATATGGACAGTTTTAGATAGATAGATAGATAGATAGATAGATAGATAGATAGATATGAACAGTTTTAGATATATACACAGACAGACAGATAGATAGATAGATAGATAGATAGATAGATAGATAGATATGAGCAGCCTGAAACAGACAGCTATGTCTGTGATCTTAGATAGATAGATAGATAGATAGATAGATAGATAGATAGATATGAACTGTCATAGATAGATAGATAGATAGATAGATAGATAGATAGATAGATAGATAGATAGATAGATAGATATGAACTGTCTTGGATAAATAGATTTAAACAGTCGGAGATAGATAGATATGAACAACCTGAGATAGATTAGCTTTTGAATAAATACTATAATATATTTGTTCAAATTTACTTTATCAGGCGTATTCCACAGCAAAAAGATACCCACTCGAATGAATCTCTCTAAACCTGGCTTCAGTTTCACTCAAGATCGTAGTTAAGTGTTACTTTCTTTCTTTTTTTTCTTTTTAGATGTGATTGGTCACAATCACAGCTTGTCGATATGCACACGAAACTAGCGATTCTGTCTGCAAGGCGACTTTTTTTTCAACAATTGCTCTCCGACCTCTTGTTCATCCCGCACGTGTTGGATTTACAAACTGTAGCAAGATGAATCGACTCGTTGAGAGAGAGGAAATTGATTGTGTACAGCGGGAGATGAGTTTCGACCAGCGTGTGGGAAAAGGAACATGTGGCGTAAAGATGATGAAACGAAACAGTGAGGTAATAGGTTGTTCACGCTTGAACTCAGTCTTCATGGCATACGAGTGGTATCTTGCCTTGTCTGTTTATACAAGGTGTATCAAAAATAATTTTACAAACTTTGTGCGAGAGTTCCTCACACCAAAACAAGGACATTATTTACATTATCTTTGTCGCCATATTTATCACAACGTTTTGGCCGTTGTACGCTCCGGCCTTCTTCAGGTGGTTGGAATTTCGAACTGAACCCTTTATTTCTCTCACTGGGTTAGACTGTCCTTGACAGATGGCACAATGGATAAAGGCGTTGGTTAGATCCAGTGACAGGACCCAAAGAGTATGATTTCAATACCCGGTTACGGCAGTGGAGAACTTTCAGAGGGAAATTAGCAGGAGATAACTGATAACTGAGATCCATCAAACATGGCACGTGGAACTAGAACAGTCTACCCCAGTGAGCGAAATAAAGGGTTCAGTTCGACATTCCAACCACCTGAAGTAGGCCGGAGCGTACAACGGCCGAAACGTTGTGATAAATATGGCGAAAAAGATGAGGACAATAGTCCGAATGATGTAAATAATGTACATAATACCTCATCTCAGAAATATAGACAGACTCAAAACAAGGACACTATTCCATATAAACATATATCCGCAAATTCGCCGTTACTGAGTTTTAAGTCTAAAGAAACGATTTTGCCATGTAGACAAGGTTACATTTGTCATTCATGTACATTTGTGGCTAGTCTGTCTTCAATGTTCAACGTGTGTAATAGAGATTTAACTAAGAAGTGTTAAGTTTACAATGAGCAGTATATTCACATCGTGAGCAGGCAGATATGATTTTATATATGGCCACGCGAATGGTAATGGACGCGAGGCTGCAAAGGTGTATCAGATTGTGATTCCAGGATACAGGATCCGTGGCACCACTATGGTAATAAGTATTTTTGGATTGTACCTTGGATTGTACATTTCACAGCGTCTACCGTCATCTTCGGAGAGCCGAGTTCGAATTCCAGTCGAATCCATTACATTCACTTACGTGCTAATACCCTTGGGAAAGGTATGAATCCTCTTCTTCTCCCGCCAACTATCGGTAAATAGCAGGACAGACCGGGTTCTATAGCCTTGGATGGCAACTGGTCTACCGCAGAATAAAAAATGGCAGCCTACTACGGGAAAAATACTGCCTCGTCAGTCATTTATCGAAAGATACATGATCACCTAAGCGTGTATCACGCATGGCACAAAACTGACTGACTGTTATCTTTAAACTTCATAAGTCAAAAACGAAGGATTAGCGGACGTATGATTATGTGCCCCCAGAGATTGTAAAAGTATTTTGATACACCCTGTATATATAAGCTATGTCTGGTTCATGGTACTATTCTAGCAATTTCTCTGTAGGCGTCGACGATGATTATATTCGAAATTATTCTGAAGGCTATTGAGTAGAAATAATTGTGTTAGAATGCGTTTCGCTCTTTCATAGTATATATATTTTAAATTCCCTCCAAAAAAAAAAATAACTCATTATTTTATTTAGGATATATATATATATATATATATATATATATATATATATATATATATATATATATATAATGAACACTCCTGTCGATGTTAACGTATGAAGAACAGTTTTTATATCTGTGTCCTATGTCACACTTCAGTCCCGATAGTGACCTTCACACAAGTCCACATAACAGCGATGAACTCAGTACGTAGCAAGAGGAATATTTACTGACAATTTTCGCAGTTGTCTTTCTTCTTATATATATATATATATATATATATATATATACACTAGCTTAAAAGCCGCACTATCTGGCGGCCTTCACCACAATAGGTAGGGAGGGGTAGATACGATAGGTAACAATAAACTTGAGCAGAGCTCAAAATTGATCCCTACATTTAAGTATTGCACTGATATTATACTTACCTTTTAAAAGTTCAACGATGATGCTTCTGTCGCCAGTTAATTTAAAGTCATTTTGATGTATGTAAGTCCTTACTTTCAGGACAAAAAATTGTTTTCATCCCTCCCGCCAAAAAAAAAAACAAAAAAAACTATAATCGTACAAAACAATTCGTCACAAAAAAATCACCTGAAACAATGACTGAAAATAATCGCAGTAATGAAAACTTGGGAATCGAAAATTTCAGGATTACGGGTTCGAATCTGGCCCGCATTGTTTTTTTTTGTTTTTTTTTAATTTACGCACGGACTCAACCTGATTCAACATGGTGTGATATGATGGACTACGGCCTCTAGGAGTAAAGTTGAAAAAGTGTGACACACTGTCATTGGCATTATATATATATATATATATATATATATATATATATATATATATATATATATACCCAAGTATATAATTGGTGTATATGGAATGGATTCCAATAACTAGTATTCTTAAAAGAGTGGTCAATACAAAATAGAGCAGATATAATTATTTATTTAAATAAAAAAATAAATACAATAAATACGTTATAAAATCACTACAAAAAATAGCCATTTTGTTTCAACACCCCCGGTGTTTTATCAAGTGGTGATGTTGAATGTAAAATAAATGGTTTGAAAAGAAGCACGATATAGAAACAGCACGGAGCTATTATAACATGACTTCGTTGTCAGGCTTTTTGAATTTTCCTATACTTGTATTTTGATTGGTCATTCTAGCTTTTGTAACAGCATTTTCCCCTTGCGAAGTATCGTTAATTAATTTGAAACTTTTAAAACCATTTATTTTACATTCAATATCACGGTTTCTACATCCATGGCATCATCAGGCAGTATAATCAAATATTCCATTTCAAAACTATCTTATATATACAACTTCGTGTTAGAAGGGAGAGAGAAAGAAGTAAAGGAGGAAAAAGAAAAAAATAGGTTATACAAATGCTCCTACGCAGGATCTTAACTCGCTAGTAAGGATTTCCTTGCGTGCTTGCAAGCCGTCATCATTTCCGATCTTTCATTTAGTAGCTTGTGCTGCTCTGGGTACGGCATAATTGCTAATTTCTCCTTTTGTCATAGTTCGCACATCTCATTTCCGATATTGAAAAGTTGAATTTTTCTCAATATATCCCATTTTACCCTGGGGACTTAGTATTTTTTTCTTTTACAGATTATACATAACCAACCAGTTCCGTGCTACTTCTATATCTTGCTACCTTGGATAGAGATCTATGGTTATAAAACCTCTTTTCAAAACCGTCCTTCTGAGAAACCAAGTTATACTTTTTCTTGGCTTTTTTCTGGGCTCTAGATTAGCTTTATATACAACATTCTTTATTTGACAATTGTTGTTTAACGGGCAATTTGCAGCATCCCTGCAATTGCTCTTCTTTCCACATCTTACTCCCTATATACACGTTTTAAAATATATTCCCCATTAATTATTTTTCCATCTGACTCGTACAACCTTAACAAATTTTGACAGTGTTTTTATTGAAACTATTATTTAACATGGAAATTTTACGGAAATGTTTAGTCAAGAATTCTAAGATTTTTACCAATTTTGATCTTCAGCTCTAAATAGTGAGAGTTAAACCAAATTATTTTCTTTCTGATGCACACAACTTAGCTTCATGCTCTTCTGCGTGCAAAGCACTAACGTAACTTTTATTTGAGGGGGGGGTCTTCAAACATTATTATATTCGAGGGATTCCTGAAATACCTCCACAAGATTCCTCTGGGTAGGTGATTGTGGGTGGACCTAATATTCACATAGATAAACCGACTATTCGGTTTCATGTACGCGAAGACGCTTTCATTCATCAAATTCAATTTAGTATCGAAATATTGTACCACTGTTGTCTTATCTTATCACTCTCTCTCTCTCTCTCTCTCTCTCTCTCTCTCTCTCTGCTTATCCCCAATCAATCCATCATCTTCATATAGGCCATGATCGTTAATGTGCACAATTTTATTCACTTCCACTTCTCAGAACGTCTGCGCCGTTAAACTATCATTGAGGAATCTCAAATATACTATTATTCGTGATTTTAAGCCATATATTGTTGTTACAGAAAAGTATAGATGTCTGGCACTGTTTGATTATATCTATCTGCTCACGTTTCACATCTACAATCTCTTTAGTAAATACCAGTGCTTTATCAAGCCACTGTTTTGATATAAAGAACAAAAATCGTTTATATCATATTCTATAAACTACTTACTTTACCTTTATTTCGTTGAACACAGATATACAAACCTCTGTACCTCTCCACTGGTTTACTTGGGTACCTACCTGTAACATATCGTAGGTTTCTTAGAAGATCATTTTACTAATCTTTCCTAATTCTGTCTTTGTTGCGTTGATTAGTCGAAACGATGAATTATTTGTAAATTTTTTTCTATAAATGCTCGTCTTTTATTCAGTTTTTGGACCCTGTCTTCTATTTTTAATTAGGAAATTATATTTTTGGCTTTCCCGTTGATTTCACCAACGTACCCTTCAATTATCGTCTTTCTTAATATTTCTGGGATTTAATGTAAACATTTATCAATGTACTATCTGCGGACATGCGGCCATTTTTGGGAAATGCGTGCATATCTCTAACAACCAGTTGAACGCCTTTCGGCAATTAAAATTCTGAACCAATATTAGGATTCATCTACATATTTATTAACCACCAAGAAAGGGTAAAATTGAAAATGGAATAAAATAAACGAAGTTATAAAAACGGTTGATTCCATTGGTGAAGTGGAATTCAAATGAATAAAATCTTGTAATTCCAACGAATAATTTATTGTTAAAACAGATATATTTCGGAAAGCTTTTCCAATTCTTGGTCACTCTTCAGGGTATTTATTCTGGACAATACAGAATTGTGGCACAAGGAATTGATTCCCTACTTCAACGGAAAATACGAAAAAAACTAGGAGTATTTTTTTTCTACTATGGTTTGTAAAATGACATTTTTTCTTTCTTTAAGCAATTCTCACGCTTTCAGATTACAAATGTCTCGCAAACTCAA